GATAGGGAATGGCAACGGACACACTGACAAAGGAGATTAATCAGAACTGGCTTTGACAAGCACTGTGGCAATTGGACAATTAAAACAGACATGGGGAGGGGAGAAGAATGAACTGGGGATGAGGATGGAGAAAACAGTGCAACAATGAATGAATGAAAACAAAAAAACAAAAACCAAAATCAGGAAAGGAATGTGTCAGGGATGTGTCCTGTCTCAATACCTTTTCAGTCTATATGCAGAACAGGAGAGAGAAAAGGGGGGAGGTAGGATATTAATCATAGGGTTGGACAATTTGATGGGTGTGTAAGTTGAAGGAAATGGGAAGGATCTTTTGTGAAAAACAATGTATTCAAACTTTGTAAATAAATCAGTTTAAATTTTTTTAAAAGTCTATAGAACTGAAAAAAACAAAACCAACAAAAAAAAAACCCTATGTACAACAGCCCTAAACCCTGCTCTATCCTGTGCCAATCGCACTGCCTCTGACACACCCATTCCGATTACCCCAGTCACTGAGTCAATCCACCTCATAAGAGGGTCTTCTCCTCTCTTAAAGTGACAAACCAAATTAAAAGACAGAAAAGTTTCAGAAACAAGACAGCATTGCTCAACATCTTCACTGTTCAAGTGGTCATCTTGAGGTCCTACAATCCACCTGGGCTAAGGGACCTTGTTAAGGGACATTATGATGATGATGATGATGTATTATTATGTATTATCAAGTCGTCTGTAACCCATAGCACCCCTATGGACAGCAGCTCTGAAGCCTGCCCTGTCCTGAGTCAGTCTCTCTGATTCAGACACACCAACCCCCATTGCCCCAGTTACTGTATCAATCAATCTCATCCGAGTCTTCCTCTCCTGTTAAATATACATGTTAATATTTATATATAATATTTTCTTGCATTTTGGTTGAAGGTTCACACAGCAACTTATTTTTAAAAATGCATTCACGCATTCACACAATGGAATACTATGCAGCACTCAGGAGCAACGATTTTGAAAAATACTGTATAATATGAGAGAGGCTCGAGGACATTATGTTGAGTGAACGAACTCAGGCACATAAGAAAAAATACTGCATAAAACCATTATTGTAAAAACAGAATGATAACTAGTGAGATCTGAATGGATATACAGAGATGGAAGGGGCAGGAGGGTTGAGGGTGAGGAGGGGGTAAATCACAGGGTGGCAGATTTGGTGCAGAAATTTTGACAAGGATTATATTCATCACAATGCATGAGTTCCTTATGATTTTCATTCTGGTTGTTCCATTTCTGTTCATCTAGTCTCCCTACACCTTTAACTTATCATCTTTGCTTTAAAGTAATTGTTGACCATTTTGTCTCATAGACAGTGATATTTTTTTAAAGTGTTTAGAGGTGATACTCAACATTTATTAAGCCAAGTTGTTACTTAGTTACAAAGCAACCTATAGGATTAGTTTCAGTTAAAGAGTATCCCCAGGCAATAGTCTAGGGAACTCAACTGGTCCAGTGTTTGTATGTGCTTAGCAGTCGGAGGTTCTGGGCCACATTTTTATCCCATTTTTTTCAGAATCCACCTACTGGGGTCCCTGTTATAGTAGTGGTAGTCAGGCACCATCCAATTCTTCTAGCCACATTGTATGTATGTTGTTGATGTTATGTGCCATCAAGTTGAGTACAACTCATAGTGACCCTATGAACAACATATCTAAACCCTGTTCTATCCTGCACCATCCTTATCATCTCTGACATATTCAAGTTCATTACTGCAGTCACTGTGTCTGCCCATCTCATTGAGGATCTTCTTCTCCTTTGCTGACCCCTCCACCTTTCCAAGCATGATGTTACTCTCCAGAGAATAGGCTCTCTGAACAACATGCCCAGAGCAGATGAGATGAAACTTCACCATCCTTGCCCGTAAGAGGCACTCCGGTTGCACCTTCTCCAGGACATTTCTGTGTGATCTTTTGCCAGTTCATGGGATATTCAGTACTCTTCTCCAACACACCACTCAGAGCCATCAGTTTTTCTCCTCTCCTATTACTCTCAAACACATAACCAGTGACTGAAAAGATCCTGAACTGAATGAGGCGCACCTTAGTCTGCAAAGTGACATCATTGCTCCTCGGTACTTTGGAGAGGTCCCTGACAGATTTCCCTAATACATCATTTGGTTTCTTAACTGGTGCTGCCAAAGGTGTCGATTGTGGATCCAAGTAAGTTGAAATCATTGACAATTTCAATCTTTTCTCCATCAGTCCTGATGTTGTCTATAGGCCCAGTGGTGGGAATTTTTGCTTTCTTGATGTTGAGATCTAATCCATGCTGAAGGTGTTGATCTTCTTCTCATGTCCTCCTCACTTTCAGCAAGTGAAGTTGTGTCACCTGCATAACTCAGGTTGTTGATGAATCTTATCCTTATGGTACATTTTTCTAATAGAATGCAGCTTCTCAAATGACTTGTTCAGCATTCAGATTGAGTCAGTATGGAGAAAGAAAGAAAGAAAAGGAAGGAGAGGAAGGGAGGGAGGGAGGGAGAGAGAGAAAGGAAGGAAGGAAGGAAGGAAGGAAGGAAGGAAGGAAGAAAATCTCCATTTATCTATACACACATACAAAAACTATTTTTCTTACTTCATGTCATTCAATCAACATCCTCAAGTAGGGGTTGAGGCCCCATTCTACAGAAGAGGAAACTAAGGCCCAAACAGAGAGGCTGTCACATGAGGGCGAGGCAGGATTTGAACCTGAACAGCTTATCAGTGTTGTAGCTGGAAGGGCCAGGGAGCGGGGGAGGAGGGAGGTCACAGGAGAGGGTGCAGCAGAGACCTCTAACTGTCCCTGTCACCGAAGTCAGTGCCAAGAGGCGTAGGCAGGTGGCTAGAAGAGGGCCTGGCTCAGAGCACCCTCTCCCTCCCCAAGCAGGCAGAGCTGAGCACAGAGGGACAGAGGGGCCCCCAGAAATGGCGCTCCCTGGATGCAAGTCCAGAATCCTGCCCTCTCTCTGCATCTGTGTCCTGGTCCTGGCCTGTGAAGTGGGTGAGGAAAAGTGGGAAAGAATGTGGGGGTCCTGGAGCAGATGGGGGATGAATCTGAGTGCCTTAGTGTGTGTGTTTGCAGATATGTGGCTACAGAGCCTGTGTGTTTTGTGGACGTGTGTGTGTGTGTGTAAGAGAGACAGACAGACAGACAGACAGACAGAAGTGTATGTATGAACCTGGGGCTGATAGGATAAAAGTCATAAAGTCATAATTAGGTGTACATATGTGTGGGCGCAAGGAGAAAAATGTGGGGGGGTACTGCATGTGTGGTTGTATTCTGTGAGCGCACGCATGCCAATAGCTAGCTGTACGTGACATACGCACCTGTTGTTGTTGTTGTTGCTGTTGTTGTTGTTTCTGTTGCTGTTGTTGTTGTTGTTGTTATTAAGTGCCATCGAGTCGTAGACAGCTCATAGCAACCCTGTGAGAGAAAGACCTGAACCCTTGTATAACTTTCAGCGTTTCTCCAGGTTCAGAGAGTTTCCGGAGGCAAGCTATTTCAGGGGTGGATGCCACTCCTGCTGCCAAGCTGTGTGCACCTGGGACTGGTGTATTTGGGTATTTGCGTGACAAGCAGTTGTGTGTGACTGCACTGTGTGCATGTGTCCGTGAGCACACACGTGTGTCTGAGGGCCGTATGCATGCAACGCATTTCAGTATTTGTCTGTGTCTCCGGATCAGTATCTGTATTTGCACACATGTTCGTGACTGTGTTTGTCTTTTTCACAGATATAAAGGGAGAATGCTTAAATGCAGGGTGCGTCAAACATCATGTTTCAAGTTAGCAATTTTACTCTTTATGGAAATGTCATTTAATATATGTCCAAATCTAGACTAAATCCTTGCTGTCCAGTCAATTCGGGCTCAAAGTGACCCTAGAGGACAGAGCGGAACTGTCCCCTGGGGCCCTCGGGTGTGTCTTCAGAGACTGTCTCAAGCAGAGTAGCTGGGGGCTTCAAACCGCTGACCTTTCGGTCAGCAGCCATGCACTTAATCACTGCGCTGTCCAGGCTCCTTTAAACATTGACAGCAAGTCAATTCTGACTCCCAGCAATCTTCCATCTGCAGCTCCAAGTCTTCACAGGAGACAGTCCCATCTGCCTCCCTTGGAGTGACTGGTGGATTTGAGCCCCCAACCCTTCTGTTGGCAGCCCAGTCTGGAAACAAATTACACCGCCAAGGCTCCCTTCTAGGATATGCCTTCTTGTTGTTAGGTGCCATCGAGTCCAGTACACCTCCCAGTGACCCTGTAAATGTCAGCTCTAAGCCTGTCACCTTACACTGCTGTAGTTATTATCCTGGATGTCTCGTCTGTCACTCAGTCACTCATTGCTCACGCTCTGGTGAGTTTCCGGAGCCCGTAAATCCCACAGGAGGAGATGGCTGGCTCAGCTGCCTCCTTCAGAGCCGCTGGTGGATTCGAACCACCAGAGAGAGGCCTCCTTTGGATTAGCGGTGCAAATCGTTATGGATCACGTCACCAGAGTTCATCAATGCCTCATTCTCAAAGTCATCAGTGAAGGGGCTTCTGTTTCCCCATCCTGCAAGTGGACAACCTGGGTGGTGCAAAAGGTTAAGCGCTTGACTATGAGCCAAAAAGTTGGGAGTTTGAACCCACTCAGCGATGCCGCGGAAGAAAGGACTGATGATATACACTTCCGGAAGGTGATGGCCCGGGCAGCCCCGGGAGGCCCCCTGCTTTGGACACACAGGGTCTCTTGTGAGTCCGATTCTACTCGAAGGCAAAGAACACAGAGCAGTTCCCCCGCAATGGCCTGAAGAATCAGTGCAGAGTATCGGGGTTCACCAGAACTGAGGGGCAGGGAGACGCTGACAGTAAGATCAGGAGGTGACAGGAGCTGGGCTACAGTGGGAGGGAGGACTCGCTAGGAAGACAGAGGGGTGACAGACTGTCACAGGCACAGAATAAGGGATGAGAAATGGTTGAACGTGTGTGGTGCTGAGGGGACCAGCGAGGGAGGTCAGCAGCAGCAAAGCTCTGAGGCCCAGCACACCCACATTGCCCTCTGCTTCCACCCAGTGTGCCAGGATGAAGGGTCTATGGGGTCACCCAGCCCCCAGCCCCCCAGTCAGGTGTGGAGCCGCTGGAACATGATGCGGGGCAAAATGAATGACCTGGTGACCAGGACCAAGGACAAGTGGCAGCAGTTCTGGTGAGGCCACACCTCAGCTGAGGTGGAGGGGCTGGGGTCCCCAATTCCTGAGAACTGGGTCTGACAGAGGAAGGGGGTGGGGGCTTAGACTCCTGGGTCTGAGGGAGGAGGGGCTGGGGGTCTGGACTCCTGAGTTAAAGGAAGAGGGGCTGGGGGCCTGGACTCCTGGGTCTGAGGAGAAAGTGGAATCTAAGAGGAAGCAAAGAGGTATTGTCAGATTGGGAAGGTAGTGAACAGGAAGGCTTTGGGGGGACTGCTGGGATCTTGGCTGGCGAGGCCCCCCTCTCTGCAGGAAACCGGGGGCCCTCCAGGGCTTCATGCAGACCTACTATGAGGACCACCTGAAGGATCTGGGCACCCGCACCCAGACCTGGCTCCACAGCTCCAAGGACGCGCTCCTGGAAAAGGCCCACAGCCTGTGCCCGCGGCTGATCTGCAGAGACTGAAGCATAAAGCAGGGTTTGACCCCTGCCCTCCTGCCTCCCCCAGTCACATCCACAATAAAGAAAAGCTTATCTCTGTGTCCTGTTCTCATATCTCCCCCCACGGGGCCAACGATAACCCCTCACCCATCTCTGCACTGAATACAAGTGTCACCCAGTTGGAGAGAGACAGTGGTGGCTTTGAGAGGTGTCAGGGAGGCCTTCAGATTCTGAGACCTGACACTTTTGGGGACTTAGTGGCTCCTCAGTATAGAATAAAGATTGGGGAGCAGATGAGGGACCAGTTTATCTGCATAGCCACTCACAATCTGGGCCCCCACTTCGCAGCCAGAGCCCCTAAAACCTCCCCCTACAGCCTCCACCAACTCCATCTCACTCAGGGATGATTTGTCAGCGTGGGGACTTCATGTGTCTGACCCCGAGGACGTCCCTGTCCTTTTGGCCTCTCGGCCTTCCTGTTGGCGTGGACTTTGTCCTGGGCTGGAAATAGAGGTGGTGACCTTGCTGGGGAGGTGGTTCTGGGTCAGTATAAAGCTGTCTTCTGCCTGCTGGACGCTGGTAAGGACAACTGGCCAGAGTCTGGTAAGAGGGGTTGGGATGGAGGTGTGGGGGAGAGGGAGTCAGTGGGGAGGGTCCCCCAACTCACGGTGAATTCACGCATGTGTGAGAATAGAACTGTGCACCATTTAGGTTTTTCTCAAGTAGATCACCAGGCCTTTCTTCCAAGGCACCACTCAGTGGATTTGAACCATCAGTGTTCTGGTTAGGAGCCAAGATTGTTAGCCATTCCACACTACCATAGGGAGCTCTGACGGCCTGGTGGTAAGAGGCTGCACTGCAATCCCAAAGGCAGGCAGCTCGAATCCACCAGCTGCTCTGTATTAGAAGGACGGGAAGTCTCCTCAGTAAGCCAGAAATGGCAAGAACTACCACCACCAAAAGGACCCCAGGTGACCTGTGGATTAAGTCTTGGGCAGCTTATTTCGAACCCAGCAACTGCTCCAAGGTAAGACCACCTGCTTCCTGGGAAACCCGCCAGGGCAGCGCCCGCTCTGTCCTACGGGGGCCGTGAGGAGTCAGAACCGGCCGGACCCCAGTAAGTGCAGTTTGGTTTTATCACAACAGAATTTAGAATCCTGGACTCTCTGCTTCCTCATCCCTCAAATCTGGGTGTGGGTGAGAACGCTGCTTGGGGATGGCACAGAATGACAGAGCTGGAGTTACAAAGGAGCCCTGGTAATGCAGTGGTTCATCTCTTGGCTATAAGCAGATAGGTTGATGGTTTGAATCCACCAGCTGCAAAATGGGAGAAAGCCGAGGCAGTCAGGCTGCCATCAGGATCGTAGCCCTGGAAACCCTATGAGCAGTTCTACTCTGCCCGACGGGTCACTAGCGTCAGAATTGACTCGACAGCGTGAGTGACGCAAGTGGAAACGCCCTTCACGGCAGAAGCACGTGATCTGACATAAGCACTGGTTCCTAAGGCATCGCGGGGCTCTTCCAAAAACATTGCCCTTGTTTTGGGACTTCTCTGGATGACATCGGCACCCTCCCCACGTGTCAGCTGTGTGACATGTGGCAGTATCTTGTGTGTTTGTTTTCCTGGTTCAATAGGGTTCTTGTTTCTCTCTCCTGTCACCTCTGTAAGGCTGCTGGGTCCAGAACATTCCTTGACACGTAACACGTGATGCAGTGGAGTTGATTCTGACACACAGTGGCCCCGTGCACTCTGCTATGGTAGAACAGCTTGGTCCTCATGGAATCACATTGCCAGGACTTTCTTGCGTGGCCTCATTAGGCTTGTTCAATCCTAAGAATTTCACGTTGTTGTGGTTGTGTGCCATTCAGTCACCTACAACATAGCAACCCTATGTACAACAGCCCTAAACCCTGGCCTATCCTGTGCAAATCTTATTGTCTCTGACACACCTATCCCCATTACCCCAGTAACTGAATCAATCCATCTCATCGAAGGTCTTCCTCTCCTGCACTGTCCCTCCACCCTCCCAAGCATGACGTCCCTCTCCAAGGGCTAGTCCCTCCTTGCAACATGTCCAAATTAGGTCAGATGAAGCTTCAGAATCCTTACCTCCAAGGAGCAGCCTGGCTTCACCCTCTCAAGGAGAAACTTGTTTGTTCTCCTAGCAGTCCATGGTATATTCAGTACTCTTCTCCAGCACCACAGCTCAAAGGCGTCAAT